TATTGAAATGTGCCGTATCTGTCTGGCCGCCCCATGAATCCAAAATAAGTAGAAATTCTTCTTTTTTGCAATATTCTGTAAGAACATTTTGGACAAAACTGTTTATATGTTCTTTTGTTAACTTTCCAGATTTCGATGCCGTGATAAATACATTTCCGTAATTTTTTGCTAACTCCTCGATAGTAGCAGAAACGCGAGGACCAAAAACTCCCTTAGGTTCTTGCATACAAAGAAACACTTTTGGAAGAAGTTTTCCAGAAGCGGTAATCGAATATTGTGCTGTATAACTATGCGTGACTTTATTAAAATCGCCAAGAAAAACATCTATAATTTTATCTCNTTTATTGGCCAACGTTCTGCGTACATCAACACGATATTCGCAACCTGTTTGATCCGTATTAATAACAAAGTCAGGATGGAAATTTGAAATCTTTTTTGCGATCCGTTTTTGGAATTTTTCTGCGTCTTTTAATATGGTTGATAAATCCAGTGTTTTTTGTGATTTTATATAACGTGTGACTTTTCTTTGGCGGATGGAATGTAATGCCTTAAATTTAGTTACCCAGGTATGTGATGCTATAAAAGAAAATTCTGGCCCGTATTGTTGAGCAGCTTGACAAGCCCACTGTTGTATCATTATTGTTGATACAGGCTGCATCTGTTGCCGAGCTTCAACAAAACGATCGAAAGTCCATTTATTAATCATATTAAACTTTTCTTTTATTCCGCCACCTTTCTTGATTTGTTTTTGCCATTTTGTTAAATCTTTTTTACAGCGAAGTGCGCCACCTCCATGTTTTTGAATAGTTTTTAAGCTCCAATTTGGATGCTCTCTTACCATGTTCAAGATTTTAATTTTGGTATCGAGCGATATATAATCAGTTTTTAATTTCTTGCAACGTATCAGTTTAAATTCATCTCCACTATCATCTGCACTTTGCGAAGTGCTTGTATTAGCTGATATTTTTTCTGGTGTCAAANAATCATAGGCTTGTTTTACATCTTCTGCCGGAATATCTTTTTGAGATAGAAATAATTCCTCTTCTTCATTAAATTCCCATTCTTTTAAAGTTGTTAGTATTACTTTTGCAAATCTTTCTCCTAAAGCTGATGCTTTAATTGATACTGATTTACTCGCTGATCCTTTAACAATTTGCAATTTTTCCAAAAT